CTGACGTCTTCACAGGGGTGTCTTCGTGCAGAGTGGATCCTGACGTCTTCACAGGGGTGTGTTCGGGCAGAGTGGATCGTGACGTCTTCACAGGGGTGTCTTCGTGCAGAGTGGATCCTGACGTCTTCACAGGGGGTGTCTTCGTGCAGAGTGGATCGTGACGTCTTCACAGGGGGTGTCTTCGGGCAGAGTGGATCCTGACGTCTTCACAGGGGTGTGTTCGGGCAGAGTGGATCGTGACGTCTTCACAGGGGGTGTCTTCGTGCAGAGTGGATCCTAACGTCTTCACAGGGGGTGTCTTCGGGCAGAGTGGATCGTGACGTCTTCACAGGGGGTGTCTTCGTGCAGAGTGGATCGTGACGTCTTCACAGGGGGTGTGTTCGGGCAGAGTGGATCGTGACGTCTTCACATGGGGTTTCTTCGGGCAGAGTGGATCCTGACGTCTTCACAGGGGTGTCTTCGGGCAGAGTGGATCCTGACGTCTTCACAGGGGTGTCTTCGGGCAGAGTGATCCTGACGTCTTCACAGGGGTGTATTCGTGCAGAGTGGATCCTGACGTCTTCACAGGGTGTGTGTTCGGGCAGAGTGGATCCTGACGTCTTCACAGGGGGTGTGTTCGGGCAGAGTGGATCCTGACGTCTTCACAGGGGGTGTCTTCGGCAGAATGGATCCTGACGTCTTCACAGGGGGTGTCTTCGGGCAGAGTGGATCCTGACGTCTTCACAGGGGGTGTCTTCGGCAGAGTGGATCTGACGTCTTCACAGGGGGTGTCTTCGGGCAGAGTGGATCTGACGTCTTCACAGGGGTGTCTTCGGGCAGAGTGGATCCTGACGTCTTCACAGGGGTGTCTTCGGGCAGAGTGGATCCTGACGTCTTCACAGGGGGTGTCTTCGGGCAGAGTGGATCGTGACTGTGTGTTCGGGCAAAGTGGGATCCTGACGTCTTCACAGGGGGGTCTTCGGGCAGAGTGGATTCTGACGGGGGTGTCTTCGGGCAGAGTGGATCCTGACGTCTTCACAGGGGTGTCTTCGGGCAGAGTGGATCCTGACGTCTTCACAGGGTGTGTGTTCGGGCAGAGTGGATCCTGACGTCTTCACAGGGGTGTCTTCGGGCAGAGTGGATCTGACGTCTTCACGGGCAGAGTGGGATCCTGACGTCTTCACAGGGGGTGTGTTCGTGGAGTGGATCCTGACGTCTTCACAGGGGGTGTGTTCGGGCAGAGTGGATCCTGACGTCTTCACAAGGGGTGTGTTCGGGCAGAGTGGCTCGTGACGTCTTCACAGGGGGTGTCTTCAGAGTGGATCTGACGTCTTCACAGGGGGTGTCTTCGGGCAGAGTGGATCCTGACGTCTTCACAGGGGTTTCTTCGTGGACAGAGTGGATTCTGACGTCTTTCACAGGGGGTGGGGCAGAGTGGATCGTGACGTCTTCACAGGTGTCTTCGGGCAGAGTGGATCGTGACGTCTTCACAGGGGTGTCTTCGGGCAGAGTGGATTGTGACGTCTTCACAGGGGTGTCTTCGGCAGAGTGGATCCTGACGTCTTCACAGGGAGAGTGGATCCTGACGTCTTCACAGGGCCAGAGTGGATCCTGACGGGATTCTTCAGGCAGAGTGATCGTGACGTCTTCACAGGGGGTGTCTTCGGGCAGAGTGGATCTTGACGTGGGTGTCTTCGAGAGTGGATCGTGACGTCTTCACAGGGGGTGTCTTCGGGCAGAGTGGATCTTGACGTCTTCACAGGGTGTGTCTTCGAGCAGAGTGGATCCTGACGTCTTCACAGGGTGTGTCTTCGGGCAGAGTGGATCCTGACGTCTTCACAGGGGGTGTGTTCGGGCAGAGTGGATCCTGACTTCTACACAGGGATTTCTTCAGGCAGAGTGGATCGTGACGTCTTCACAGGGGTTGTCTTCGGGAGAGTGGATCCTGACGTCTTCACAGGGGGTGTGTTCGGGCAGAGTGGATCCTGACGTCTTCACAGGGGGTGTGTTCGGGCAGAGTGGATCCTGACTGGGATTTCTTCAAGCAGAGTGGATCGTGACGTCTTCACAGGGGGTGTCTTCGGGCAGAGTGGATCGTGACGTCTTCACAGGGGTGTCGGCAGAGTGGATCCTGACGTCTTCACAGGGGTGTCTCGGAGAGTGGATCCTGACGTCTTCAGGGGTGTCTTCGGGAGAGTGGATCCTGACGTCTTCACAGGGGGTGTCTTCGTGCAGAGTGGATCGTCTTCACAGGGGTGTGTTTCGGGCAGAGTGGATCGTGACGTCTTCACAGGGGGTCTTCGGGCAGAGTGGATCCTGACGTCTTCATAGGGGGTGTCTTCGGCAGAGTGGATCCTGACGTCTTCAAAGGGGGTGTCTTCGGGCAGAGTGGATCGTGACGTCTTCACAGGGGTGTCTTCGTGCAGAGTGGATCGTGACGTCTTCACAGGGGGTGTCTTCGGGCAGAGTGGATCCTGACGTCTTCATAGGGGGTGTCTTCGGGCAGGGTGTATCCTGACGTCTTCAAAGGGGGTGTCTTCGGGCAGAGTGGATCGTGACGTCTTCACAGGGGTGTCTTCGGGCAGAGTGGATCCTGACGTCTTCATAGGGGGTGTCTTCGGGCAGAGTGGATCCTGGATGACGTCTTGTCTTCGGGCAGAGGGATCGTGACGTCTTTCACAGGGGTGTCTTCGGAGAGTGGATCCTGACGTCTTCAAAGGGGGTGTCTTCGGGCAGAGTGGATCCTGACGTCTTCACAGGGGGTGTCTTCGGGCAGAGTGGATCGTGACGTCTTCACAGGGGGTGTCTTCGGGCAGAGTGGATCCTGATGTCTTCACAGGGGGTGTCTTCGGGCAGAGTGGATCCTGACGTCTTCACAGGGTGTGTGTTCGGACAGAGTGGATTCTGACGTCTTCAGGGGGTGTGTTCGGGCAGAGTGGATCCTGACTTCTACACAGGGGTGTCTTCGGGCAGAGTGGATCGTGACGTCTTCACAGGGGGTGTCTTCGGCAGAGTGGATCCTGATGTCTTCACAGGGGGTGTCTTCGGGCAGAGTGGATCCTGACGTCTTCATAGGGGGTGTCTTCGGGCAGAGTGGATCGTGACGTCTTCACATGGGGTGTCTTCAAGCAGAGTGGATCCTGACGTCTTCACAGGGGGTGTCTTCGGGAGAGTGGATCCTGACGTCTTCACAGGGGGTGTCTTCGTGCAGAGTGGATCCCTGACGTCTCACAGGGTGTGTTCGGCAGAGTGGATCCTGACGTCTTCACAGGGGGTGTCTTCGGGCAGAGTGGATCGTGACGTCTTCACAGGGGGTGTCTTCGGGCAGAGTGGATCCTGACGTCTTCACGGGGGGTGTCTTCGGGCAGAGTGGATCCTGATGTCTTCACAGGGTGTGTGTTCGGACAGAGTGGATTCTGACGTCTTCACATGGGGTGTCTTCGGGCAGAGTGGATCCTGACTTCTACACAGGGGTGTCTTCGGGCAGAGTGGATCGTGACGTCTTCACATGGGGTGTCTTCGGGCAGAGTGGATCCTGATGTCTTCACAGGGGGTGTCTTCGGGCAGAGTGGATCCTGACGTCTTCACGGGGGTGTCTTCGGGCAGAGTGGATCCTGATGTCTTCACAGGGTGTGTGTTCGGACAGAGTGGATTCTGACGTCTTCACAGGGGGTGTCTTCGGGCAGAGTGGATCGTGACGTCTTCACAGGGGTGTCTTCGTGCAGAGTGGATCCTGACGTCTTCACAGGGGGTGTCTTTGGGCAGAGTGGATCCTGACGTCTTCACAGGGGTGTCTTCGTGCAGATGGATCCTGACGTCTTCACGGGGGTGGGCAGAGTGGATCCTGACGTCTTCACAGGGGTGTCTTCGTGCAGAGTGGATCCTGACGTCTTCACAGGGGTGTCTTTGGGCAGAGTGGATCCTGACGTCTTCACAGGGGTGTCTTCGTGCAGAGTGGATCCTGACGTCTTCACGGGGGTGTCTTCGTGCAGAGTGGATCCTGACGTCTTCACAGGGGTGTCTTCGGGCAGAGTGTATCCTGACGTGTTCACAGGGGGTGTCTTCGGGCAGAGTGTATCCTGACGTGTTCACAGGGGGTGTGTTCGGCCAGAATGTATCCTGACGTGTTCACAAACCGAATTTTAGAGTTTTCGATGGTTTCCCTAGGGGTGACCCCCACAGGATGGTTTCCGAAGTCCTTTAAAAGCATATCTAGTCTTATATCCCGCCACAGAGTGGATCCCGGCATCTTCAGTATCGCCGGTGGCTCCTAGTCTCTTTACGCCATGGTCCCTGATAGCTTCTGATGCTGGTCTTCACAAGTCTTCACGGCCTCTTCGAAGGGAGCCATTCAGATGGACTGAGCCAGATGGATGTTTCGTGACTTCTTAGTTGGAGATTCTTCCGATTCTGATGATTTCAGAGAGGGATTTTTAGGCGTGTTTTCCAGGTGTATATTCACAGATTTACTTCGGACTGACATTTCCCGACATCTTCACAGCATGTCTTCAGTTCTCATCCGTGCAGAAAGTGATGAAATACAGATGGTGTCTTCACGGGGATGCATTCTTTAAAGAGGGTTTTTCTTAATCTTGATACTAAGAGAATAGTCCTTGCCTTTCCTGGTAAGTCATTGAGTATTATAATATTCTGAGACATTTTTTGGTGTTTATCGTGCATCTTGTACTTCTTTCTAAATATGAACTTTATTTAAGCCGTTGAATATACCGTTCGAATCAGTTATACGTGCCATGAAGTCTCCAGATGTGAACAATCAAAATTTTTTCAAAGAATTTAAAATGTTTTCACCAAAGCATGACAGACGTTTTCCAACAAAACCTTTCGTTTGCATAGGTTTCTTCTATTATTTACAGATTTTATCACTTCGGCGTTAGCTTAAACGGCCCCAAATGCCCAAGGACGTGTGTATTTGGCCATCTGCAACACCCCCATTGTGTCTCCGATGACAGGCTAAGCATCATCATCTCCTGTCACTTGTGCCCTCTCAAAAACCACTTTTTTGGTTTTTCTTTGGGGGAGTTTTCGTATGTCATCTCTGCGTTTGCCAATTTCCTCGTGTGTTTATTATTTCTTTCATCTGTCATCATGACCCTCGTCACTCAAGGTCAGAGGCCAAGAGTGTTCACCGTTATACTTGATCTCGAAGGATGAACACGAGAGAACACACTCCGGCAGCGGTTCGAGTTAATGGTCACTGATGTAGTCCATTACAAACTTTTTTTCCCCTTTAGAATATCTACTACCTTTACACTCGCCAAATGTAAGTATTTTCTCTCTTTTCAGTTAATGAATCATGATGAATATCTTTGATGTACGATAAAAGGATCATATCAGAAACGTCGCATAACCTTGATTCACTTTCCTTTATTGTCCGGCGTCGTGTCAATTCGCTTCGCCCCGATTGCAGTCGTTGGCCAAATGCAATCAGAACGACCCCGCTGGGAAGGTCATAGCAATCATATTTAACAGAGTCGCAGCGGGTCGTGATTGGCATCCGCTTTAATCATTTTAGTTGTTGGCAGCAGCGTATAACAATCACGAGTCCTTCCAGATCAGGTCAGGAATGCTGTTATGATTTCCTCGGCCGCCATGATGACCTCGAATCGGAGTTTTAATTGATACTCGAGAGGAGGTTTCGGCGGAAGGCAGTCTTAGCCAACATGGTAAAGGGATTCGGTAATCTCCTTGATATGTTATTACAAGAGTAACAGTAATAACAATAACAGGCAATGACACTTCTACCAATAGATAAAATCAACAGAAATAAATATACTGATAATCATAACAATTAAATTGTATTTATCTCTTAACAGTCTCCTTGGAAAGCGAGGGATCGACAGCGAGAGCAACAGGACAGCTGTTATTCCGTCTCGCTGCCTTTTGACAAATAAACTTGAAAAAATTAAAATATTTTCACTATCCCTTTATCATTTATATACTACAGACCTTTGGTATCATTGGGTTGACATTCAAAATTCATAAAAATCTAAAATATAAAAATGACACAACATAGACCGTTATATCTATCATTAAGACTTACTACAGGTCAGTGGCCTAAATGCAGAACAAATCTCTCCTTTTTTTGCAAAATATCAAAGTCTTGGATTTCCATATTCGATATAATTGAGATGAACCACACTCCACCCACTCAAAAAAAAAAGAAAAAAAAAAAGTCAAAGCAATCTAGTTCTCCCCCTTTTTTCCTGAATGCATCCGTTATCACATATCATTATCCACTTCTTTCATTCCAATCTCAAAAATCGGAGATGCGGAGGAACGTACGTGTGTGCATAATAATCAAGATAACTCCCCCCCCCCATCGCCCCTCCTCCCCCTCCACCTCCTCCTCCGCCTCAGAGACAAGTTCCGAGCAGGTTCCAGGACGTGGTTGTCTCTGAATACTGATAGATGCTAATAGATGCTAATTCTACGTCCGGAAGGCTTTAGCACTTACCAGAATCTTGATAAGAGGAGGAATAAAGACTCTTAATGATGCATTTTCTTTGTCTTTTTCCTTCTACATTTCCGCATGTAGAGCAAAAGAATTTTGTGGTTGTATTTGAGGACATTTTATTTTTGCATCATATTTTTTTCTAATTTTCGTTTTACTTACGGGGCTGTCTAATCCATAATAAGTTTTTGATGTGATTTTTCAAAAAGCATCGAGCGGGTTCCCTATTTTTCTGTCATATTCGTAACGGTATTATGCAAACTCCGACCGACCTTATACAGATCCAACGCTAAAATGGATTATCTAAGGTATTTTATCTTTTTTTGTTTTTGTTTTTGTAAGCAGTTCACAGTCGCCGGTCTTACCCAACTGGTTTTACGTATCTGCTGTAAATAAGGTACTGTCAGTTACAGGAATTCGAAGACGCTCATTGCAAATGCGGAACTGTTTTTTTTCTCTTTCGGTGGATGGCAACAACCTTTTTCGTTTTTTTTCCAACTACGTAGGTATATATATGTCCATAGTAGCCGTGGGCGTTCTCTCTGTCTGTCTTCCTGTTCTCTCTCTCTCTCTCTCTGTCTCTCTGTCTCTGTCTCTGTCTCCGTCTCTCTCTTTCTCTCTCTCTCTGCTTGTCTCTGTCATACCCAACGTGTGCACATGCATATGAATAAATATATGATTAAATAGAGAGCAAGATTCTCTCTCTCTCTCTCTCTCTCTCTCTCTCTCTCTTTCTCTGTGTGTGTGTGTGTGTGTGTCTGCTTGTATCTGTCATACCCAACGTGTGCACATGCATATGAATAAATATATGATTAAATAGATAGCAATCTCTCTCTCTCTCTCTGCTTGTCTCTGCCATACCCAACGTGTGCATATGCATTTGAATAAATATATGATTAAATAGAGAGCAAGATTCTCTCTCTCTCTCTCTCTCTCTCTCTCTCTCTCTCTCTCTCTCTCTCTCTCTCTCTCTCTCTCTCTCTCTCTCTCTCTCTCTCTCTCTCTCTCTCTCTCCTTCTCTTTCTCTCCCCTCTATTCCTCACGAGTCATCCTTCCACCCACATTCTTCCATCTCTCTTTCCTTCCATCCGCACCTCGCATTACCTCAGGGTATAGTGCAGCCCGTTCGCAATACCCTAAACGCTTTGCTGTCCAGAAGACGATCCCTTTGCGTAGCCCATGTTGCGTGCTGAGACGGTGCTTAGCTTATGGTATCGGAAATCGCTTTTTAGATATTATGAAATTATTGGTATCGATTTCCGTTGTGCATGATGTTACTTGGTGCTATAACGTTTTTATTTAGATGTTACTTTAATTTGCTATGTTTTTATCAACTAATAAGTGATAGAAATGAGGATTTCATTTTATTTCTATTACGTGACACCTGTATTTTTGAAGTGGGGATGAATATACTATTATCGCAGAAAGGAATCCAGAAAAAATAATAAAACCATGAAAACAATATATTACAGCGTTTCAAGAGCATCGCGCGTACACGGTCGAGCGGGTCGGAGAGTGACAAACAGAATGAGGCAACAGAGATCCACCGCGTCGGATACAATGTGGATCTTGGGATGTTTGTCGCTCGAGGTCTTAAAAAGGGTTAGGTATTCATTCGGGAAAAGTGAGACATGTGAAAAATTGATATTGTGTTGAGAACACGCGAGTGAGAGTGTGATGAGAGGCTGGGCGATTACTGCGCGAGGGATGCGATGAAAAGGAGTGCGCGGCGTGGTGCTCGAAGGTCGACGGGGCAGATTAGTATAACTCACGTGCGGCGCGCACTGATTGTTGTACGTGCGCCGTCGAAAGTCATGAAACGAGCGTCGAGCACGAGCACATAGATCACTCACAAGCGCATATTCACGTAGAGATTTAGACTGTATACGGTGTGACGAGTTTGCACTATGTGATCGACATCAGTGTAGTGTATTGACATGAGAAAATTCGCTCAAATCATATGTAGTACATCTCGCATAGAGAGAGAAAATATCCGTGCACAGCGCCTCTCCACCGTGACGAGAGAGAGACATCCACGAGATAGCGAGTAAGCTTCACTCGTGCGTGCCGTTCGCACTGTCGCTGGCACAACCTCGTGGTCCTTTATCCAGTCGGATACGTGCCCTCTCTTATCTCTGTGGCCTCTCGTGTGTTTAACAGGGATCTTCTATCTAATTTTTTTTTTCAGAAATAATTGCTCATTTCAATATGTCATTTTGTCGTTTCTACTTTCCTGTGATCATTCATTTAAGTGATTGGCCACAGGTGAAATAGATCTGTTATAAACCTGACCAAATTTTAGCCATTATTCTCATGTTTTCTTTTCTTTTTCTTTTTCGTGCTTTCTTCTTTGCATTCTTCCTTTCCATACCTATTTTTTTTTTACGTGTTCTATCGCTGCCTCTCCATCTATGCATATCAAAAAGCATGGGGAGATGTACGTCGATTGCATACCGGGAGGTTGTAATGGGGACTTAATTTTGTGTTCTTCCGGGGTTGGCAGCCGATTTTTATCGAGATCTTCGGCATTTATCTGTTACTCGTCTTCCTGATTCATCGCTATCCAGAGGGCCGAGAGATGCCAAGTCGATTACACGCTGTATCTATCTCCCTCTTCTTCTACAATGCGGAGGCAGGCATCTCTGCTCGCTTTGCGTACGTTGCGAATATATTACATTATCACGTACACACACATAATTGTGTAATATTGTAACTGCTAACGACGCCTGACACGCATTGATAAACTGAGTATAACTTCACAACGGACCACGCACGGTGTTATGTATAATGCACAGTCGCTACTACACGTGTATTATTATAACTCAAGCACGCAACAACGCACCGGTGTATATATATGACCACACGCTCAACAATCTTCTACTCCTCACATCGTGGTAAAATACTCACACGCTCACCTATCGCACTTGTGTCATATTACTCACTCACCCGCACAACGCACTGTGTATACTATATCTCAACATGCCTACGTTTTCGTCTCTATCTTTCTCATCTCTCTCCATTTCGTATTTTCAATCCGTCTACATTCTCGCCTACCTGTAGTATATTACTACTTCTTTACACTGTACAGGCGTACTACTTAGTGCTACCTATTACATACTCACACGCACTACCGCATTTTCGTGTTATATCATTATCTCTGGAATTTTACTCTATGTTCCTTATTTCCTTTCTCTTTATTCTTTTTGATGTTTATGCACCATATTTTAATGCATACACATATTACTACTTGTACTACGTTGTACTATAGTTAGTATGTACATCACACCCTCTCAATTTCAGCGCATTTTATATACGTGTGCTGTTTATGCTTGTGCGTGTTGTATCGTGAATATGAGAGCATGCACACACTTAATCCTTCGTGGAACGTTAAGTATTGCGCTAATATGCTATATTCGAAGATCAGCTGGTAGAAAAAACCGTTGCTCTTGCACAGGTGTTTTCTTTGACCAATAAAGTACCAAGTACTTGGATATTATGGATTGCAAGGTTCGCGTCTTTCTGAGGCATTCTCTTGAAATATGACCTTTTGCACAGACCAATCCCCTCATGCACTGGGGATTATGTGGTGACATGTCGATACAATTCAGTTTTTCTATTATCATATCGCTGGTAAAATTATGATAACAGGGCTGCTGTTTTAGAATAAACACATCGTATCATGTACTTTTTATCAAGATCTTAAAAAACGAATATGGATGAAGATTAAGAAAATATTATTGGAGCAATCTAATGAATGACGAAATTCTTGAAGTATCATTAAAAGCATTTGCAAGTACGTGGAAATATATATATTTAATATACACTACCATATTGATACCCTCTCGTTCGTTATCATACATATTCATTATATATACTGTGTGTGTGTCGCATGTGTGTAGGTGTTTGTGTGTGCTATACACACAGATATATATTATCATACTATTATTATATTAAATATATGATATACTTATATTATTTAGGCTTTCACTTATATAGTCATTATATATTTTCAATTCATATATCCTAATATATTATAATGTATTGTATATGTATTTATCTAACCTACCTAGCCCAATTACTTCGCCCTGAGTACTACACTTAGCTCCATGTTTTTATCTGCTGATGTATATGTTATGTTATGCTTCGGTCATTATCCAGTCCACTTACATACCGATACCCGGATACGAGAGCTCATTTCTACTATTTATACTTCTCTAATAGCAGTGGCTTATATATTACGTATAGTGCCGTAGGTCTATGTACCGGAGTGGCTATGTTATTGGTACTAGGTGAGGTTATTGCGGTAGCCTATTTATATTATATACTGATGCGGTGTGTGTGTGTGATGTTCGTGTCTGTGTGTGGTGTGTCTGGTGGTCTGTCAGGGTGTGTGTGTGGATGTTGAGGTGTTGGTGTGTTGTAGTGCTGCGTGTTGTAGATTGTAGTTGATGTGAGGTAGAGCGTGTGTGTGTGTGCTGGTGTGTGTAGATTGTTGTGTGTGTGCTGTGTATAGCATGAACAATCATTATATCGTATATATATAATTTATGATTTAGGTAGTAGCTCATATATACTATATAGTATATAATTATTATATATACATATATATATTATATATATTATATATGTATATACAATATATATATATATATATCTAGGTTAGTAATGATCGTGGTTTTGTAGTGTTTGGATTGAGGGGTATATTAGGGTTCATATATGTAAAGTATGGTGGTGTGTTATTATTTTATGAGGGTTGTATGTGGTGGGAGTTGAATGGTGTAGCTGTTTCAGGCACCGACGGAATGTTGGACACACACTACACACACGCACACATCACACACACACACTTAGTATGTGATTATATTAATATATGTAGTTAGTAGGTTATATTATGAGTTAGGTATATTGATTGTGTGATTAGTAGTTTATATTTGTGTGTAGTATGTAGGGTAGGTGATTGATGTATATTGGGTGTATGTATGTGTTGTTTGGAGTAGGTGTGTGGTATTAGTGTGTTAGGTTGGTTTGTGTGTGGATTGAGGGTGGTCAGTGTGTGAGTAGTTGATGGTGGCTGGTGGTGTGGTTTCGTGTGGATACATGATATGGTAAGCATATTTGAGCAAGTTTTCATCACAAACACATACGTGCGTGTGTGTCGCCAGAAATGCGGGGCCCAGCGCCCCCGGGCCGGCGCCCCAGCACCAGCAACCATCACAGCAAATAAAGCAATCACGCTCAATCTCCAAAGGCAATCTCGACCAAGGGCGGAGGAAGCGAGCGCCCCGACTCGCCCCGAGGAACGCCCAGACCCAACAGTAGCAGAGATCAAGGTCCCACTGCATCTCGTGGGCGTGCGAGGGCGTGCCGACCTTATATGGCGTGTTCTTGCACCTGGGAACAAGGTCAAGTCGCCGCGCTAAAGACCGGGGGCGCCGCGTAATACGGGGGGCGCCGGCGAACCGCTCCACGCACACGGGCCCGAGGCTGGCGGCGGCGGAGGTTACGTCAGAAGTGGCCGTTGGGGAGGGGGAGGGGGAGGGAGGAGGGGGAGAGGGAGGAGGAGTGTTGGAGGATGCAACCTGGGGGAAAGACAGGGGAACAGGAGAGGGAAAAAGACAATGAATAGGGGAGGGAACGGGATCGGAGAGGGACGAGAAGGGAGGGAAGAGGAAGGAAGATAGAGAAAATGAAGGAAGAAACCGGGAAGGTCAAGAAAGAGGAGGGGAGACCAGAGGGAAGTCTTGAAGTATAGCAGTCTACTCCCACAGCTTCCTCGGCCCCTCCCCCTCTGCCTTTTAACTCGGGTAAACAAAAGAACGCCGACGGCCGCCGCTCGCTCCAACCTCATTGTACCTCTCTCTCCGTCCTCTGCCATTTTATCTCAGCCCTGGCCCATATATCTACCTACATACCCATGGGAACGCTATTTACCCACGCCCAACGCCCGCCCGCTGCCTCAAGCGACCCTATATTTACACTCACGTTTCCTATTTATCTCCGAAAAGACCTTCCCCGCCGCCGCCCTTTGTATTTCCCGCCAAATTCTCGCTGCAGCTGGGAAAAGGCGGGAACCATGCAATCAGCTGTTCTATTGCATGACTATCCATTCCTCATGACTTTGGGTCTCTTTTCTTTGGCATTTCCGGACTATGGATAAGATCCCGAGGTCCTCATCTTTGACAGAAAATTAGTAGAAAATCTCTATATGTTGAGCGATGGCTGCCGAATCGTCCATCGTCATAAGTGATCTGGATCCCATTACGTTGTGACCTTCGCGTTGATCGAATGAGAATCAGATCCCATATAAGGGGGATTATGAGACGCGATCGTGATAGTAATGGTTTTAATAATGAATGATGAGAGCAAGAATGATGGCAATAAAACGACAATTATGATAATGATAATAAAGCAATAATAATGATAATGATAATAAAGCAATAATAATGATAATGGATAAATATAATGCAATGATATAATGATAATGATAATGACAATGATAATAATGATAATAATAATAGCAATCTTAATAATGATGATAATGATAACAATAACAACAATGATGATGGGAATGATAATGGCAATACTAATAATAGTAGTAATAATGATGATAATAGTGATAATGGTGATAATAATAATGATAATGATAACAATAATAACAATAAAGATAATATTGATGGTCATGATAATGATGGCAATGATAATAGTGATAAGAGTAATTATAATAATAATGATGATAAGAATGACAATAATGATAACAAAGATAATGCTAATGATAGTAGTAGTAGTAGTAGCAATAATAGTAATGATGACATCGATGGTGATAATGATAAAAATGATGATGATGATAATAATAATAATAACGCTAATAATAATAATAATGGGAATAACAATGATGATGATAATGGTAATACTAATAATGATGATAATACTAACAATGATAACGATAACGAGAACAATGACAATAACAATGGCAAAAACAATAATAATGATGCTAATTACGAAGACGACGACCAAGATCACGACACCAATGATACCGAATCACGCCGCTGATGCCGATCCAAGAAGCCGAGACCTCCGCACCTGCTCCCCCTCGCTCCGCTCAGCCGTCCAGGTGCGAACCGCCGACCGCGAACCAAAATACCGAGTTGGGATGTCGGTCGCGTCCTCACACTCAGGAGCTCCGGGCAAGGTGCGCTGAGACGGTCGTATCATCTCGTCGGTACCTGGCTTTGGGTCCTCGCTCGCCAAGGACACGCGGGCACACGTACAGACGCACACGGGTATGTATACTCTTGCAT